CTTTTTTTTTTTTAAGAGATTTTTGCCATAGGATGCGTGCACTCACCAGAGAGAAAGCAATACAGAAACCGAGGTATCACCCCCCCCCGCCAGGTGGGATGGCCCACACAACAGTCCTTTTCCTCTGGGTATCTTGGCCACGCACACACGCACATGCACCAAGAGTGAATTTCAAGTCACAAGGTCAGGGACTAGAACCATGGTCAAACACATGGGAGTACAGTGACATAACCATTACACCATCTGCTGGTCCCAATATTAACTATTTTTGAAGTGATAAAATAATGAGCAACCTTGAAAAGTTCTCAGTTAGAAGAAAACAATTGTAGGGACCAGCAGTTAGTGTAATGGCTATGTCGCTGAACTCCCATGTAGTCGACTGCAGTTCACGTCCCGGATCCGGTAGCTTAAAACTCACACTGGGCGCATGTGCGTGCGTGCCCAAGATCCCAAGAGGAAAAAGGAGAAGGGATTGAGGCATGGTCATCCCCCCTGGGGGGTGATTTCTCACTTTCTGTCCCTCTCTCTCTCTCTCTCTCTCTCTGTCTGGTGAGCGCATGCATCCTATAGCAAAAGCCTCTCCAAAAAAAAAAAAGAAGAAAAGAGTTGTAAAGATGACCTTGAACAATCTTTTAATGATCTATACCACGACCTCTGTCAGGACTATTTAGGAAGCAGGCAGGCATTGGTTTTCAGAAGACAGCAATAAATTTGGTAAAATGTTAACACTAAACAGTGAGGAATCTATCATATGTTAAGAAAAAAAGAAACTAAGAGTATCCTAATACAATTTTAAAAATATCTTTACTAGACAGTATCCAGGCCCTTTTCAGGTTCCTTCTACCTGTTTTCTTTTCAATAATGGTGATTACTTTCCACTCTTTAATATACACTGCCAACAATGCTGCTAATTTATAAAACATGTGCACAAAAGTATTAGTATCCTGGAAATATGATGCAAGAAATATTAATCTTGGAGGAAGACTACTGTGATTTTTACTATGGCAAAGAACAGCTTACTAATAAAGGATCCAATTTAAGATCTATTCCAAATCAAAATCTGGTAATACCTGGAATATCCTTGGAATTCCTCCAGTATTGTAGTGAACTACTAGGCTGACTTTATTCTCTTTTTCCACAATTTCAAAAGATCCTTCTTTCCATTTTGTAATCCCAGTCTGCATACTTCGAATTCTGATAGGACCATGTATCTTCAGAGGAGACATACTTTCTTTAAAAATAAATTGCTTCTAGCCAAATTAAAAATCAAAAATACACTTTCACCTGACAGGTTCTAAGGAAGAAAAATAAAATAACAAGTTACAATTTACTAGTAATTAAAATAAATTTTAAAAGAGAATGCTTAATATCTTATGTTCCCTTTTCTATTTCAAAAAGCCACTTTTTGGAAGAATCTTCAAAGTTTGTAAATTTGTATAGTCGTATAGCACAGAAAACAAAAACAACTGATGTCCAGAGCCTACATCTAACCACCTTTAATAGCGTCTTACATGTTTTCTTCTTTGCCATATGTTCAAGACCTATGTCTATTAGTGCCTAAATTCTGCTTTATGCACAATTCACAACTATACTACTGCCACGAAAGGCATCCCAATTATGTATAACAAGGGGTCCCTTCTCAATGCAACTGCCTTTACCACTAAAGTGTTGATTCTTTTTTCTTTCATGTATGTTAACAGGGCTAGAATTCCAACTATAAGTAATGTATTGGGTTATCGGGAAAGTCATGATTTATTTTTGCACAGAAAAATATGTAATGGGGGCCAGCAGATGGCGTGGTGGTTAAGGCACTAGACGTCCCCACATGGCTGACCATGGTTCCACTCCGGACCTGGTGGCTTGCTTTCTCTCTCTCCCTTTCTTTCCCTCTGTGTCCTTTTCCAGTCAAATTAAAATAAATGAATGAATAAATAAAAATTACATAAATAAATACAAATTACATAATATTAATAATTACACATTATATATATAATTTTTAAAAAGAAAAATACATCATGACTTTTCCAATGACCCAATATATATGTATCCATGTATCACATATGTATATGTAATATATGTATATGTATGCATGTATGTATATGTAATGTGTGTATACATAGCTATATACACATAGATACACACACACACACACACACACACACACACACACACACACATATCTTTCAGCCATCTGACTCTACATCTTAGAACGAAATTCTTCCCAAAACACAGAAGTATTATTACCAAACAAGTCCTTCTATCAGTGGGCAGTCTAAGCAGATCCATGTATAGAGAAGACATTAAATGAATAATTTGATTCAACTTCTAGAATTATGTTGAAAAAAATAATTTAATCTTTAGGGCAAACAAACAAGTAGATGAAGAAGCTTCTCTTCCCAAGAACCACTTCCCATTACATTTAACATTAACTTTCATTCATAGGAAGACTTTTTACCAATTTCATCTTTGACAGATACTGATTTCCTGAATGAACTTTTAATACTTAAAAATAACCTGCAACATGCTGAGATGCCTAAGACACTTTAAACTAGCTTTACCAAAAATCAGCAGGTCAATAAAGTTACAGTAAGAGCAGAGAATGCTATCAAACAGTGTGTGATACAATGGGTTGTTGATAAAGTCATGATGCATTTGGTATAGAAAAACACAGAAAGATCTGTTGTGACTTTACTGACAACCTAATACATATAAACATGCAATCATCTATAACCGCTAAGTCAAATTTTATTTGTACTATATTCTAAAAACACTGCCCCTAAAACAAATTCTTGCTTACAATTTAAAAATTATTGGGGCCAGCAGATGGCACCGCAGTTACATCACTGGACTTCCACATGGCCGATTGTGGTTCAAGTCCTAGACCTGGTGGCTTGAAAATCTCACCAGACACATGTACATGCATGCCCAAGATCCCAAGAGGAGAATGGAAGAGAAGAGATTGCAGCGTAGCCATCTCTCGTGAGGGGTGATTTCTTACTTTCCCTCTCACTATTTCTGTCTCTCTCTCTCTCTGGAGTGCTCACGTGCTCAAGGTCAACCTCTTAAAAAAAAAAAAAGAAAAGAAAAAAATTATTAAACATTGCTTCTGTCTCAACAACTCAACTAGAAAAGCTAGACAAGGTAGTATACAGGGAAAAAGATACTAGATCTAGAAATCAGGAGCCAGTTGTGTCACTTCCTCATTTTTAACTTACCTTCTCTAATCATTATTTTTCTCAACTAAAAAACTAGAATAGCAAATGCTGTAGTATTACATAGTAAAGTAAGATCTTCAGTAGATAGCAGCTATTAAAATGAAATCAGTACCCACTTTGTGAATTTATTCTTTGACTCTAATATATCTTTCTCTAAAGACCTCAATAAACAACATGTTAACAGAGACCACTATCCCAAATGCCTATAGAAGTCAGACAAGTGACAAATGGACACCACTCAATTTAGCCTATGTAGACAAAGTGAACCTTGCACTGCTTGATCATGTAATATTTTTAACAAAACTAAGACATCCAAACTTTTATGTAAAATTGCTCATTTTAAATTGTGGGTAATTAATTCCAATTTATTTTTTCTTATTTTATTTTTTATTTACATTTAATCATTGAACATCTTTACGGCTTGCAACATGGTTTTTCCCAGCATGCATGCAGTACATGTCAATCAAGTCAAAGAGATTACCACATATATCAACAGATAACTTTTCATTCTTGTGTCTGTTAAATAAATGTATTTTCTCCCCAAGCCCCCCCATCCCAGCCTTCACTATACACTCCCTCCTATATAGTCTGTGGTATTTACATTTTCCCTCCCTGCTATTATACCTTCCGTTCTTTCAGTTTCTGCTATAGAGTACAGACATTTGATATATATTGAGCAGCCACTCTTATCATTTCTGCCAAAGAGTGCAGACATTTGGTATATATTGAGCAGGGACATACAATATCTGTCTTTTATAGTCTGGCTTGCTTTACTTAGATTAAGCCTTTTATATTCATCCACTTTGTACAAATGAGAGGGTCTCACTGCTTTTTAGGGCTGAGTAGTACTCCATAGTGTATATGTGCCACAGTTTTTCAATCTAGTTATCTGCTTAGGCATTTGAGCTGACTCCTATCTTAGCAATTGCGAATAATGCAATAAACATGGACACACACAAGTTTTTCCAACTCACTGTTTTCCTATCTTTTGGGTAAGTATCTAGCTTTGTTGTTGTTTGTTTGAGATTTTTGCTCCAGGGCACATATGCTCATCAGAGAAACAGAAAGCGAGAACCACTACCACCCCCGGCCCCCGTGGGGGATGGCCATGCCAAAATCCCCTCTGCTCCATTCTCTTCTCAGGATTTTGGGCGTGCATGCACACATGTCTGGATTTAGTTTCAAGTTGTCAGGTCTGCGAATTAAATTGTGGTCAGCCACATAGGAGCCTAGCACCTTAACCACCATACCACCTGCTGGCCCCAATGTCTGGTTTTTAAAAGTTACATATCAAACAAAACCCACCTGCAGACAGCTTGGGGACCTCTAGCTAGTATACTGCAAATACTGCAAATAACTGGAGATTTAAAAAAAAAACAAAAAAAAGATGTGAAAAAACAAAAAAAAAAAACACTTTTAAGAATTAAAAGGTGTTATGCATCATAAATCTATTATTCACTCATCTAATCAATTTTTTAAGTGTCTACTGTAGCTAGATTTAGATATCAGTATAATTTCCTATTATATTAATCCATCAAAGTAAAAGAGTTCACTACTGTTTATAGACCTGTCTGTTAACTTATTTCACTCAGACTCTAAAGAAATCTGGGCCAGCAATGTGCTTTGTAACACTTCTTTTTTTTTTAAACAATGAATAATCTGTGGCTTCATTGTTCAGATAAGTCCTTCAGATTTTTTTTCCACTTTGCCTCTCAGCACTAAAAGAATCTACAGTTCCTCTCCTACCCCAGTTTCCCATGCCTAAAATGCGAGTTGCCTCTGACTTCTCTCTTGATGATTATCAGGAAGATATTAGAGTTGAAGGTCAAAGGAGAGTCCTGTCAATTCTAAACACTATTTAACCTGCAGACAACTTTATAATGAACCATAGATCTAATCACTTTGTTTTCCTTAATATCACTCACTGAGCTCCTTACTGTCCTCCCAATAGACTCTAAATTCATGAATACGGTATAAAAGGGTCTTCATGATTCAAGACCTGCTTACCTCTCTATCCCCCAAATCCAGCCATCTGAGATACTTATGACTTCCAGCCAATGCTGTATATTCTCCATGCCACTATACCTTTGCATATATTGTGGTCATGTCTAGAGGATTTTTATGTTCTCTTCCCAACCCCAACATTCTTTTAATTTTAGCCTAAAATCTAGGCTAAACTTAAATGTTACCCTCTTTAAGAAGTCTTTCTTAATCACCTTCTTTTTCATTCCTTAAAAAAATTTCTAGAGACCAGAAGGTGGCATGGTGGTTAAGATATTGGACACTCCTATGTGCGTGACCACAGTTCAAGTCCTGGACGTGGTAGCTTGCTTTCTCATTTCCCTCCTCTCTGGCCGAATAAAAATTAATTAACAAATTAATCAAATAAATAATTTTTAAAAGAATTTATAAAAGGGATTATTATGTTAAACTTTATTTATTAACTGTTATTTTTTAATTTACCAGAGAGAGAGGAAAAGCGAGAAAGTAAACTGCCAGTTCGGCCATGTGGGAGTCCAGCACATTCAACCACCACGTCACCTGCCAGCCCCTCCTAACCACCTTTCGGTTGTTCCTTTTATAAGATTGTTTAATCCTTTTCCATCCTCTCATTGTACTCTATACTTACGTATACCTCTAACAGAGTACTTATCACACTATATTATAAACTGGTTATCTCTATCCAGACTGTGCTATTTGAAGATAGGAAAAATGTTGTTTAATCTCTGCATCCTTACTAAGACAGTGTCTAATATGCAAGAAATAGAAACTCATTGTTCAAGAACAGACAAATTTGCACTATTAATTTTATTTGATTTGCTGTTAAAATATACAACAGTAGATACTGGATTAATAAAACTTTTATTCAGCCAATACAGGGTTATATTTACTAAGTTCTTTACAAAAGTACTGCTATACACTGCTTTACATATAACATATCTTTTGGGGACATCTAAGCTTTTACCTTTTTTTTAAAGAGAGATTTTTGCTATAGGACACATGCAGTTGCCAGAGAGACAGAAAATGAGAAATCACCCCACAGAAGGGATGGCCACGTCACAATTCCTTCTCCATTCTC